GTAAATGACTTTCCCTTCCTCGGTTTTAATATACAAGCATGGGTCTGCTTGACTTTGGTTGAATTGGTGGCCTTTTAAAACAATGTTCAATTCATCATTCCAGGCTTTTGCTGCCTGTTTTAACCCGTAAATGCTTTTGTTTAATTTACACACCATTTCTTCTTTGTCAGGCTCTAAATAACCTTCAGGTTGTCGCATAAAAATTGTTTCTTTAAGCACCCCGTTCAAAAAAGCTGTTTTTGCATCATAATGTGCAATAAAGAGTCCCTCTTTACCTGCTATGGTCAGTAGCAGCCGAAATGTCGTGTGCCTTACAACTGGGGCAAATATTTCGTCGTAATCAACTCCATATTTCTGGGAAAACCCTCGTGCCACTAACCTTGCCTTGTACTTATTTATGCTCCCTGCTGCGTCCCGCTTCGTTTTGAACACCCATTTACAACTGATTATGTCCCGACCTTCCGGCTTCTGTACAAGCTCCCAGGTATTATTTGACAATAACGAATTAATTTCTTCGTCCATTGCCGCCCCCCATTCCTTTGAATTTGGTCCAGAAAGTGCCTCCTTCCTGTTCTTTGGATCTTCGTTAAAACTAACCATCGTATACAGCTTTTCGTCTCCTGTATACCTGTGGGGTGGCACACCTTTATTCGACCTGTCGGATCTTCTTGGTTCTTCTTTGTCTTCATTCTTGTCTTCTATTTCCTGCAGGACTTCCACAGGTTCTTTAAAATTTTCCTGATTTTCTTGAACTGCATTTTCCAAATTTTGAAGACACGCCGTTGTTTTATTTTCCTTAGATCGTCTCCAATTCAACGTAATTTGAACTTTGTTACTTGGATCTTTACTTTTAATCGTTTTATTCTCTTTAAGTGGCTGTTTTACTTCTTGGTCATTGAGAAAAACGACATCCCGGCTTATCTTTATTTTATTGGTGTTTTTATCCAATAAACGATAACCCTTTGATTCTTCCGAGTATCCCACAAATAAAAATTCCACTGCCTTTTCATCCAATTTTCTTCGCAATTCTTTAGGAACATGAGCGTATGCTCTACAGCCAAAAACTCGCAGGTGGTCAACATTCGGTGCCTTTAAATGCCATAATTCGAACGGTGTTTTTTCTATACATTTTGATGGTAGCCTATTTTGCAAATAATTTGCGGTATTTATCGCTTCACCCCAATATTTCTTGTCCATGTCCGCGTCGTACAACATGCACCTTGCACTTTCCAAGAGTGAGCGATTTTTCCTTTCGGCCACACCGTTTTGCTCAGGTGTATAAGCAACCGTGTACTGAATCTGAATGCCCTCCATTTTCAGGTAATTTTTCAGTTCTTTGTTGACATATTCCTTTCCTCTATCCGACCGAATTATTTTTGGCTTTTTTCCCAAACTGGTTTTCATTTTTTCGACAAATTGCTTAATAAGTTCTGCCACTTCGGATTTTTGAGCCATTAAAAAAACTCTACAGTACCGGCTGTAGTCATCTATTATGGTCAAGGCGTACCGCTTTCCTCCAGGTGTCACCGTTTGCATGGGTCCGCAAACATCCGTATGAACAAGGTCTAAAATTTTGTTTGACCTGTTCTCCGACCTTTTTGGAAATGGTTTTCTTGCCATTTTTCCTTTAATGCAAACTTCACAAGTTTCCCGTATTCCGCAATCCGTAACTTTTATACCGGCCGCTAGTCCTTTGTTTTGTAAGTCTTTAATTGCTGCCACTTCGCGATGCCCGAAACGTCTATGCCACATGTGCTGACACTGTGTACTATGACCGCCCTTTATTGCTATACACGCTTTATTGTCTGCTTGCACCGGTACCGTTTGAAGCTCATAAAGTCCGGCTACCTGTTTGGCCGTTGCCCGCACTTTTTGTCCTTCCACAATATCGCACACGTTGTCCTTAAACAGCACTTTAAAACCTTTAGCTGTTAATTTCCGCACCGAAAGTAAATTAACTTCCAAGTTTGGCACAAACAAAACGTTGTCAATCTTTATATTAATGTCCTTATTGGCCCCATTGACAAACTTTACAACACCCGACCCGGTCCCTTTAATTTCAGCCTTTTGACCATTTGCTAGCCGTACATTTCCGTTCGTGTTTCGATGAAATTCCTTAAAGAAATCCTTGTTATTAACCATATGACTTGTCGCCCCCGAGTCGATTACCCAAACGTCCTTTTGTTGTCTTATTTGCAGGCCAAAACAAACACTCACTTCATGACATAAATCTGTCTCCACATTTGTTTGTGTCATAAAACAGGTCTCATCCACTTGATTTTCAGAATAACCATCTGTAACTGCATTTGCCCTTTCTTTATTGCACTTCCAAGCTTGATATTTTCGACAAAACTTTTTGTAATGACCAGGTTCTTTACAAAAATAGCACTGCTTTTTCTTTACCAAGTTCGCCGAATTTCCTGAATGCCCGGGTTGCCCTTTATGATGATGAGAAGCCGACGCCCTCATTGCCGTGTCACTTTCTTCATCCCTTGTTTTTGATACACCTTTACGTCGACCATATTCGTCTAATAATTTTGCTTTCACTAGTTCCATTGTTAACTCCTTCTCATCCCTGCTTTCCAGTGCAGTAATTAGCGTGCCATAAGAATCCGGCAGACTACTTAATAGCATAGCAACAATTAACTGATTATTTAGCACCTCCCCCATGGCCGATAATTTATCCACCAACTCCATCATTAGGTTTATATGGAGTTCCATATTACCGCCTTCTTCTAGAGTTAATCTGCATATCCGCTTTAACAAGAAAACTTTGGTGGATAGCGATCCCTTCTGGTGGATGTCCCTTAATGAATTCCAAGCGTCGAGAGCATTTTTTGCTTGTCTAATGTGGATTAACTGGCTATCTTCGACAAGGAGTCCGATTGCTGCTCTAGCTTGATCATCCTTTCTAATCCAGGCTTCGTCTGGAACACCTGGCCTTGGCTCAGCGATCACGTCCCATATCCCCTCACTGATCAGCAAAAATTCGACCTTATACTTCCAAATTTGATAATTGGAACTGTTCAATTTCGCGATACCGTACAAAAAACGCGAACCGCCCGACATTTTCGAACCTTGATTGTTCTCTCACTTTTGCTGCAGCACACTATTTGTAAAAACTTTATTCCTGTATTGTCTTTAAACTCCGAACTCACTCACATAGATTAACTGGGCCCATAACCTGTTGGATTTTATTTAATGACTTCAATAGGTGTTTGCGTAATTATGTGAATGGTCAATAAAAAGCACAATTGTATTTAAGAACGAGATAACTAAGTAGGTACACTTTATTGATAAGTAGGTAACAAATAACTTTTAGAGATAAATACAAATAACATCTGTGACGACTATATTTCGCTGAGGGTGGTTTCGGACTGACTCTGCCTCGTAGTATATTTTAAAGTCAAGGGTACGAATGCCGTAAATGTTTCACTCGCTTGCCATGTGGTTTATTTCCTATTTTATAAACGTTGACTATTGTTGTTGCACAATATTCCAACAAAAATGAGTTGATAATGTAGTGACTTTTGAAAAAAAAGTGTATATCTTATTTTTTAAGATAAAAAAAATCTGAGCAGATATATATATATATATATATATATATATATATGTATATGTATATTAGGGTGCTTAAAAAAAAAATTATTTTGGTATCTCAACACAAAAATACAAAAATATTAATTAATACTTTTATATTTAAAATATATATAGTCACGGCCAAATCTATATGGGTGCACGTCATCAATGAGATATAATGACGTCAGCATTACCAACTTTGAATTGTAAAGTTACTGCCGTTAAATTTGCTTTTTTAAGGAGTAATTCTGATGTGTTATTAAAAAGAAATCATTCATTTGCATATTGTTTACCAAGAACTGTAACAATTTCCTTGTTTTAAAACGTTTTTTCACGAAATTATCAAAATAAAACCATTCACTTAGTAATTTTTTTGTGTGCCAGTTGGTAATAGGTTAAGGCTGGCGCGCACCGTTCAATATTATTGATGGGTCGCTGTCATTTTATATTTGACGTATTTTTGTAATTCCGACATTTTGTCCGGAAGCATCGTTTGTTGCAAATTATTATAAATAATATTATACATTAGGTTTATAAGATTCAATCCCTGGATTGTGCAAACAATGATATAAGGCTTGTTGGCAACTAGCCGTTATTAGATTTCGAAGACATTGCGCCCTTAATAATAAATTTGGGGAAATAATCAGACTTCAATTCTGACCTGGTTTGCTCTGATGACAAGGACGACTGGTAATTTATTATTTTTGTGTTTCTGATAATTTAGTATTTTTTTGTTATGTGCATATGTAATAAAAATGTAATAAACTCCATTTGTTTTCTCTTTAAACACATTTAATAAAAATTTGCCTGTAACAAACTCCTAATTAGTTAGTGCAGAAGATTATAACAAGGACGTTATAGGTAATTCCATCTTAATAACAGCCCCCACCGCTATAAACAGTCAACAATACACGAGCGTTAGATTGTGTCTGGGCACGTATGAATAGACCTTAACGCTGACGTCATATGCCGTTGATGACGTGCACCCATACAGATTTGGCCGTGACTATATATTATTTATAAAATAACCTTAAATTAACCTTGAAACTGACATTTGACAGCCCAGATAAAATAAGGTTTATTTTTTACAAAAGAGGTGTAAAATGATTGTTCTTACCACTTTGAGGTCTCTTTTAAGGCTTGCACGTCTCTCTGCAAGAAACACAAGGTTTAACTAAAACGATTATTAATCTAGAGTACAGCTGTACATACCCAAAGCACAAGAATTGTAAACAACAAAAATGGCCGTCATTGTATGATGTGCAGTGTTGCAGTGATTTTTAGTATTTTTAGTACGAACAGACCACAATCCACAATGTGTGGATTGTGGAACAGACCTTGTTGTGTGGATTGTGGAGTTGGCAACCCTGACTGCGCATGAAGTGACCGTTTCCGTTTTGAATTTGACAGTGTATCTTGGTGTTCAACAAAGTTTGTTTTTATTTTAAGTTTTGTGTTTTTGGTATCTTGCTTGTGAAAAGTGAATTTGTACGTATTTATTTCTGTAATTTTTGGTGTTTTGTTTGAGAGTGAAAATGTTTTGTACCTGGGCATTATTTAATAACGACAAGGCAATAGAGCAAGGTAAGAACTGTGTTTTTTATTGTAAAGACTAAATAAAGGAGGAGTAACTTTTGAGCACAATGCATAATAATATTATGCCTAATATACCTATACAAAAAGTTTATATACAAAAGTGCTCTTTTAGTTCCACCCTTACTTCCTAAGAAGTTCCAGAAGCCAACTAATATTAATTAATATTAGTTATTAATACCCTTAAGGGTTGCAATACCCTTAAGGGTTGTAATAATTGTTCCTATAGGTATACTGTCAAATGAACGTCGACTTGATATTACAAAGTCGGTTAAATTGGCAAATTGATGACATTTTTTCTGCTAATTAAAATGGTTAAAACTGAAAAACAACTGAACGTCAGGTTTCCGAAATATTCACAACAAATTTTTTTTTAAAGATTTTAAAAGACAATTTAATTTGGAAGAAAAAATTATTATTGCATAACTACCCTAAACTTAAAAATAAACAATTAATAAGCACTTGAACTTTCCAACGGGTTGTTAAAATAACCAAATTATTAATTTATTTTAACAACATTAAAAAAATTCAAGTGCTTATTAATTGTTCTTTAAAAGTTAAGGGCAGGGCCGAGCCGTGCCGGGGGTGCAAGGGGTGCATGGCACCCGGGCGGCACTAACACAGGGCGGCAAAATGTCATCAAAAAAATGGTTTCATATTATCAAGAATAAAAAAGCCACCTTGCAATATGCAAAAAACTTTCTAAAAATCACTTGCGTTTTATTGATGTCGGCGTTTCAAGGAATCATCTTTTTATTCTACACATAAAAACAATGCCAAAATTGTGCTGTCAGGCGGCAATGATAAAAAAGACATAACCGAACGCGCGATAGTCACAAAAAATGATGATGACAATTTTCTTAAAGCCCGGTTTATAGATTGCCGCCCGCCCGCTTCGCTTTCCGTCCGTCCGCTTCGAGTTCGTCAAGTTTCATGTTTTACGAAAGCGGGCTTACGGGAAACCAATCAAATCGCGCGCTGTGTACCACGTGATATTGTTTACAAGCTGAACTGTTAAGTTAAAGCATAATTTCTTCCGATTTGACGGCTGCGTATTTCAGCAATTTTTAGTTTTTCTATTAACGTGAGGCAAATAGAATGCAAACATAGTAGTTTCTTTTGTCTTTTAATGCGTTTAAGTTAAAAACTAGTTAATGATTTAAAATGCATCTTTCCGAATTTATTTGTAGCTTTAAGAATATTTTTGACGATGCCAGTTACTGTTGCCCATGGACTATGGAGAGCGGTCATTTTCGAAATTAAAACTAATTAAGTCCTATTTAAGATCCAATATGAGTCAATTCAGGCTTTCAAATTTAGCAATTATAAGTATTGAAGAAGATATTTCTAACAACTTGGATGTAGGCGACTTGATTAGGGAATTTGCTATTAAAAAAACGAGAAAAGTAGATTTTAGTTTTTTAGTTTAGTTTAATTATTTTTATTTTTTTTCCTGAATGTATTTTTATTTTATTCTTTTATGTATTTGTTAATAAATACTTTGTTATTTTACTATACAATTTGTTATATGTTCATTGACAATGATAAATTATGAACTCCTTCCCTACCAACAACCTAATTTTTTACATTAATGGGGGCGGCAAATTTAATTCTGCACCCGGGCGGCAGATACCCTAGGCTCGGCCCTGGTTAAGGGTATCTAATAGATACTATCTATATGGTATCTATGGTATATTATATATTATTATGGTTTATCTATCTATGGTATAGAACATATTACCTAATTAGGATTCACAGTGTGAATTTCACACACAAAAGTGGGAACTTTGAAATTAAATACAAATAATTGAGGTCCTAGTCTAGGATTGAGGTTATCTATATAATCTATACATGGCCTTGCCCTGATGGCTTATAGCTTGGTTTAGTAGAGAAGGTGGTTAGATACTCCGATTACTTATTTTCATCATCTGTTGCGCAAGTGTAAAAAAATGTTGAGAGCTCCTGGTTTAAACAAAATGCGCATGCGCGTCTGTCATTTGTTTGTCTGTCAAATATTTAAATATTTGTTATGATTAAAGGTTATAATCTTTATAAACTCGTTATAAAAAACTTTCTACGCATTAATATTACTATTTTTATTATATGTTTTAATAATATTTTTCAATGAAGTGTTGTGTTGTGGGCTGTCCAAGCTATCATAGCAAAACAAAACACACAGGCGTAAAATATTTTACATTCCCAAAGTCACCAAAAGTTTTGGCCAAATGGATAGAAGCCTGTGGTTTACAAAATAAGGATGTTTATCATATCCATCAGAAAGATTATTTCAGTGTTCAATTCAAATGGACAATATCTTTGAAAATTTTCATGGGATTTCATTGTCAAAAGAAGACCTAATATTCGATAAAGTCACTAATTTAACGATTGCACAACTTAAATCCCCAATTCTAATTGAAGTTGTTCATTGTCTTGTCAGAACCAGAACGTATATTCGGCTTCGACAATTAAATAGAAAGTCTGCAGATAGAACCAGAAGTGTAGGGAAAAAAATGACAAAAATCACCGGCAAAAAAAAATTCTAAATTCAAACATGTATGTTTATATTTCGTGTTACGATTGTTAATAAAAGTTAATTATTGAGACTGTTTTTTTATAGCGGTTGTCCTAGGTTGCTATTCTACATATACTTGAAGGGCTCGGCAGTGGTAAAACTAAACTCTATTTAAATGTAACTTTAAATATCTACTATAATGTCATTTATTGAAAAGTATCCTATAATTATGTTTTTATTAAAAAAGCAAAATTGGAAACCATTTTCAGATACCACTTTTTACTCCTGAGACCTTCATTCATTGATGTATGCCATAGGAACATAAGGCATTTCATGCAAAGCCTCAGCAGATAGTAGAATGTAGGATATAAGAAGGTTTTACCTAGCTTGGCCATAATCTTACCCAATGTGGACCTCTCCTGAAATTCACAAAAATACCTAATAGCAATGTTTATTTAAAATACTAATATCATTGTCAGCCCAACTCCCGTTACCAGAAGTATACTGTACTAAGTCACAAAAAACATTTTCCATAAAGAATGCTGTTGTGATTTTTTATTTTTTCTATGTTACTTGCTTACATTCTTAATATCTGTGGTTTAAATATTTTTCTAAAAGAGCATTACCAAAATCTAGACATCTTAGTACAAAGAACTCATTTTTATGAAAAGTGGATATAGTACCTACCTATTTAATAATTTAAAATTACTGTATATATTTTAAAAGCAAGTGATAAGTGGTCAGCGTAATTTTTAATTTAGTATTTACTGTATTAAATACTAACTAAAATTTAGTTGTATCTAACCTAAAATTTCAACCATTTAAATTACGCGCCTAAGGTTACACTTAATGACGTCATCAGTGGCTACCAAAATGTGCGCCGTGTCTAACCACCTTCTCTACTAAACCAAGGGCTTATAGTAATATTTCCTTGGAATATTTCTATGATGAATATTTCTATGATCAGTGATACATGCAGGGGGGTATAAGGGGAATTTGACAACAGGCAACAGTAAAATAAATCTAGCATGCTTTGAAACCCAAGTTGTTTTTGACAGACCCCAGCTATTAACCACGTGATTCTTACTTTGTTGTGATTGGTCTTTTCCAACTTGTACGTTGATGTTCGGTTTGAGAAATTACAAATGGCTGACAGCGTTGTTGAAGTGGTGTGTACTAAGTTTTATAATCCAAATTTTCTTTGTTTTAGGTAAGTAAACTTGTTAATTTCGGCTTTAACATTTTATTAGGTGTTTTTAGTCAAGTTTTAGTTAGTTGTAGCATCATTACCGCGTTTAAAATAAGAAAATACGTGTGATAAACCGTATCGGTTTTTTTCTCTATGTTTACCGAAAACGTAGTTACGATAAAACAAATAAAATTCTTTTTATGTAATGAAACCTATGGCAAAGAGTAAAGACTCTTACTCTTTGCTTATGGGTTGTTTAACTAATGCAAGTTTTGATAGAATTTAAAGTTTTGATTCAAAACTTTCAATCAAAACAGTTTTTAACGTTTTTTTTCTTGACACTAGTTGCTGTTATACAAAATGTTAAATATACCTATAATCTTTGTCAAAATGTATGTTTTTGTTAAAATTATTTGATGTAGCTATGCAAAAACTGAACCTGGGTCCAGGGCCCCACTACATTGGCATTTGGTGGAGCGGAGGTTATTGAACGAACAGCCCCCTCATCGGTGGATCGGACGTAAAGGGCCCAACAATTTGGCACTTCATGTATGGTCAACACATTCAACCAATCTCACAGTGTGCGACTTCTTTCTCTGGGGCTTTATAAAAGATAACGTTTATGAGCCCCAAGATTTGTAAAAGCTGAATACACGAATTGGAACTGCCGAGTATCTACAAGATGTTTGCAGCTGGAAGAGGTCATATTAAACACTTGTAAGCATACAGTTCAAAACTTGATTATATTACAAATGTTTTGTGCTTTCCATGTTTTTTTTACATAAATATAGCATTTTAAACTACAGGGTGATAATCTTTTACAGTATTTTTATAGTTATTTTATTTGAAGGGGTCAATGGAAGAAGTGTCGTAAGTCACATTTTCAATTAAATTGTTATTCTGGCTTCATCTAAGAGTTTTCACATAAGTTGAAAACCAGGCAAACTCCCATTGAAGTAAATGCAAACTAAAGCACTTGGGCACATATTTCTGACACTTTAAAAAAACCACCTGAAACCTTATGTGAAACACTCTTAGATGAAGCCACAATGTAAATTTAATTGAAAATGTGACTTATGCACTTAAGTGCAAGAATTCTTGCATTGACCCCTTCATTTGTTCTATCTGAAAGTCTGACATTTTTAATGTACATAAATAACTAGATAATTCATAAGCAAACCTTTTAAAGAATTATTTTTAAAGTTTTTAATTTAATTATTTTTTGCTACAATATAAATTGATTTTAATTTAATTTAATTAATTTTAGCTTCTGCGATAATGGAACAATTA